TTATTAATAGGTGATATTGTTTGCATACTAAAGCCTTTAATAATAAACCATAAACATCTACTTTTTTGGCAAACAGGTTAATAATACATATTTAAAACGTATTTCATACAGAACAATGAAACCAGTGAACTGCCAGTCTTTTATCTAATAACTTTCAATTTTAACTGCGTTCATCATTATTACTTCACAGTCCTCTGCAGTTTCGATAATGTTGAGTGTTTATTTGGACAACTTTGCTGATCGTTTTGTAAGGAGTCCTGTGTACCTAGAGTTGTGTCACCTGCTCGGCTTGACTGCTGCTTCTTGACAAGCTGTTGATTAGTCTTTGCAGTTCATGGGTCTTTATATTATTGGGCACCTCAGCTGCAGTTTCAGTTTGAGGCCATTCCCGGCTGCATAGTTTCCTTTGAATAAGTTCACTGGTCATAAGCAAATATATTGTTTCTAAATGTTCAAAAGCATAATTGAATATGTATGACATATTGAAGGCATTTTTATGCATAACCTCACAATTTACCTAAAACCAAAAATTATGATCTGCAACTGTTTATCATTAAATTGGAGGTGGCGATATCAGTGAAGCCCAAGTACAAAACATTTGTATAAAACAGTAGCATTTCCTTTCCATATGATTTTGAATACAAAATCAAGAAAATTGTCAATATGGGCTAAATGTATGGTTTGGCACTAATTGTAGCAGACACTTAAGTCGGATTACCTAGTCAACTACAGCAAATGTTAATTTTTGTGTACAATTAGTCTATTGTATTGTTTAGTGATCCATCAAAAACATCCTCCATTAAACAGGTCTGTAGTGTTACAGAAGCTGTTGAACAAGAATAGTATTTATTGTGCTCTTGGTGATGCTATAATTGCATTGTCACGGCCATGTAAGGTCTAGTTATTTATGGAAATTGTCCTGATGTCTGAGTTTGTCTGAATAGCTTTTCAGTCATACAGTCCCATTGTATGAATGTGATAGCTTTGCTTTTGAACACTTTGTGTAAACTTACTGTAGGTGCCTGAAATCAAATCTCTGCATTCAGTTGCTTTCAAGTCAGTCTTCATCTGTGAGCAAAAGTGGCTTTGTTTCTTTTCTCCAAGTGGTTTTATACATTAAGAAAAAAAATAGAGATGTTGAGAGCTCCTGTGACAGTTTTCTGTGGCTCTCCAAGACGACAATTGTTTATGCCAGTTTCAGGATGTTTTTCTGTATTGCTTTGTTTCAGCTTTAAAGAATTTTAAAAAAACAGTGGTAGAAGGTTATCACGTACAAAACATTAAAATGATCAGATTCCCCACACTGTTCATGCACACTCTAGTCGAAGGGTATAGGTTATACTTGAGTGTTTGCATTAAATTATCCTTTTAAATATCAAGAGCACTTGATTACAGAGGTTCTTCATAGTATGAAGAGGCAGCGTGAGTAATTTCTGAAAGCATGCTTGCAATGCTCTTTAAAGTCAATGGTCTATCATTGCTTATCAGCAGCAAAATGACCTTAAATAGATTATTTGCATAATTTTATGTAGATATATGAAGTGCAATGAAACCGAACAAATATAAACAAAATGTTCAGGTTATCCAATAATGTCCAAAATACAGGAGAATACTAGAATTTAACTTCTGCTTAAGAGTTTCTTTGTGTAAAATGTCAAGATTTGTAAGTTACTACCTCTTGGAATCTTATACAATTATACAATTAGCTGCAACAATTACATCACACTGCAGCAAAAATACAAAAGAGCAATCTATTGGAGATCACAGGAGGGAATGTATCATAAATGTTTGGGGTTTTGTTACATTTCAAAGTTTAGCAGGATGGTTTGTTTTTCTGAAAGACTGCATAAACAAGTACAGGTTTGCAAACATAGCCGCTTTCTTGATAGGAGCAGGTAGGATTGAAGTGATTATTCTGAGTCTGCAAACCAGCCAAAGACCAATGGGGAATCAGTGTTCATGGTTTATTTTTGATGCTCCTCAGTTTCCTTATATATCACTATTATGAAAAATCAATTTTTAAGGAGTTGTTCTTCATTAGCTTGAGAATTCCATTGCGCTATAAAGCACAGTAGCTGCTTGGTGCCGCCTCCTCACTCGGTTTTATACGTGACATCCAACTTAAGGAACTGAAAAGTCAGTTGCATTTTTTCATCTTTTATTTTTCACATTTTGGTTCTGACTCTGTAGTATTTTATGCTTTCTAACATTGCCTAGAGGACACAAATCAAATGAAAGAAATGATTTTTCTATTATTTGGAGAATCAAGGAACAACGCTGGCTGTGTTTGAATGTGATCCAGGTGGAGCCAGTTTCATTACTGTGAAGACCATGTGAACAGATCAGTTTGCTTGTTCTTACCTCTAGTGCTATAGTGCACTCGGTTAGCTGAGGGTGCTAATTAAATCCGTTATTACCTGATACGTCACAGTGCCAGTGAAGAAAAAGGGCTTCCTAACTGAATTTCACAAATTGCACAGATGCTTTTTATTTTGTTCAAACCCTTGTTCTTTCAGCCTTTCTGTTTTTTTTCTTTTAGTGTTTCAGAGTCCGTTTTTTTGTATGCATGTCATTGTTTGGTTCTGTTCTCTTGTGAACCTTTAATTCCTTCAAATTAATTTAAGTTCAGTACAATATAACATAACAATGGGATCTGGTTTGGTGAGCTCATACAATACAAATAAACAACAGAAAACCAATAATAGATAGCAACCACTCAACACATCTTCACATAACATTCTAGACAGAGCAATGATTAATAAGAGTGAGACCAGATAATATAACAATGCACCATGCAAAAACTGTAAAATCAAAGGGTAAAGTACATGCATCTCACAACTTCTGGGTAGATCTTGAGGGAATGAGATCTTGATTAGAATCGGAGAAATGCATTACATAATTTATCAATCCAAAATCCGAGATGAAAATGTCACCTATAAATCCGCCGCTTATTTTTTTTAAATAGCTTGTTACTTATTTCATATTGGAAATCGCCCATTATGTAGACTCCTTTTAATTTGGAACCAAGCTGTAAGTACCATCCTGCTCTGCTGTCAGTTTACAAGGAAGTAAAAGAGATGATGTGGTGATGGTGATTATTTGCAGAGCACGTGCCCTTATCTAGGGCAACTCGCAATGAATACAGAGGTTGTTTTTACAATAAGTGTAAGTACGAAGGAAACAATAAATTTGATCAGATGCCAGTACAATAAAATTACAGGAACATTCAGTAAGGCAAGCACAATGACGATGGAAGACGAGCAGCATTGTGCAGTCGTACTGCGCTAGCTCTGTGACAGGAAGAGGCTAACTGATCAAGACAGCTGTGTGGTTGTCTGCCTCGGCCTCCAGCTCCCTCTTTTGTTAATGTGAAAGTGTCTCAGGACTGCTTTCAGGATAACTTAATAACCCCGGGGACTTCTGGTGCTCTACTGAAATAGAAATTGAATGAAACTTATTGTAGATTGACTGCTTTTAAGTCGCTTCAATTTTCCATTTTAGCAGTGTATCCTCTGTTGCAGACCGATGCAACACTGCGTTCTATCTAGTGTACAGTATATCCAAGAGGTTTGTTTAATTGATTTTAAGTGTGTTTCTGGTCTATGTGGTACAATAAACAAGCCAAACGAGTGTGTGTTTCGTATTCTAAATAGTTTTACCAATTAGCAGTGTTTTGATTGATTGAATAGCCCTGCTTGAGTTTCATTCTCTCATAGGTGATCTCAGCTGTTTCTAATAATTATTTTTTTCTCTCTGGTTTTGTTTTACAGCTGAATATGAATGGATCCAACACAATCCTTTATTTTGGTCTGTTTGATGGAAAAGACCCCAACCCTGCAAGAGACCCTGGTTATATTATAATGTACTCCTATCTGGTGTTCTATAAATAGTCACTTATACAGATTGTTACAGAAATAGAGTCCCATTGAGTGCACACACCTCAACACGAGTTTGTATATTGATAGCAGAGGGCACAGATGCAAAAAGTACCACTTTCAAAACCCCATAGATATAGATGAATCTCAGTCCGCTTTGGTTTCCAAAACATAGCTAGGGTTTCTCTTTTCAATACTCCATAAGCTTTTAAATCCAATGCTCTCTGAGGTTTGTACAGTATATTTTTCAGATAAAGATATACCCATGTCCAGTTAGTCCATTTGGTTTGGCTATGTCATATATAGTTCCCACCTGCGTTGCAGAAGATCCCTATGGATGGACAAAGAAAAAAAACGTGTTTGATTTTGAGGTTACAGAAAAGTATAAAAGTAGATCAACAAGAAAAAACCTTGCTTAACCTTCATTCTTCATAGTCAATTCAGACCTTGATAAATTCTATAAATGTATTATGTTTTATCCTTATGATATCTAAAGCTCAGTAAAAGTTTTGGATTGCCCGTCTCTCTTCTTATCGTTTTAAAACAATATTGTTGCTATTATTGGCAGGAGCCATCAGTGTATTGTATACCTTGTGGTTCTTAAAAGAGTATGATAGATTATGTGTTCATATATAACAGTATGACTAGGCCATTCCCTCTCTTATCTTTTTGTGGCTTGTTAAAAGGATTTATAATAATCATTCTCCTTCCTTTGCTAGGGATCCTGCTGGTAGGTAACAATTAAACAAGTGGTTCAACAGTCCATAAAAAGAGCACTATTGTTATGTGTACATATATTTCACTATGCTGTCTTGAAAAGACCAATCTTGAGACACATTAGCCAGTTATAATAAAAGGGCAAATAAGAGTTAATGATTTTTCTTAACGGAAGACCTCATTTGTAAAAGGAAGTTAATTACCAAAAAGTAATTTCACATCACCAAAGAGACTTGAAAACTTCATTAATATTAGAACATAGACTGTGACTGGAAACTTGATGACAACACTCCAATATCACACACTCCCCATGTTGGTCGTTAGATGTAAAAAGGTTTGAGACTAACAGCTGGCAGAACTGGCCACAATATTCCTCTCCAGCTGCTACATTTGGCTTTTTTGAATTCAGTGAAATGCTAGAGTGTACCATTCATCAAGGTCTGTCTGAGAAAAGGAAGTTTTGAACGCAGACAGCACTTTAATAGTGTTCAGACTTGTCCTGATCATCAGGAGACGGAAAGTGGCTAAACCCATTACAGAAAAATTAAACTGTTGAATGTTTTGTTCACCTCTTCTCGGGCCTGAGAAATTACCTGCTGCTTTTTCTTGTGCTTGGGTTTGCCGTGCATAGAGTTTAATTGCATTTGAAGAAGCACCACAGGGATACTTTGTTGAATAACCTGAAATGTTTCTGAAAAGTCCCCTGGAGTAAGAGTAAGAGTTTTTCAGTTCAAGAGTACTAGAAGAGCCACAGGCGTTTTAAGAAGTGTCTGCCCAAGCAGTAACTCTAGGTATTTCACCAGATCACAGGTGCAGGGAGGAGAGGCGTTGTGGAGATGTACTGCTGTAAAATTCCAAATTTGATCTATAATATAACTGGTTTAAGGACACTAGGCATTGTGGCCAATCCAACTTTAAGATAATACATTGCATTTCTTTAGATTAGTTGCTCTTCTGCTCTCTAGAATAGTGTTTGTATGGCATTCTGCTGACTAAAAAGCTCAAAAGTTAGTAAAACCAATTACAAACGCTCTTGTATTGGTTCTGAGGGTGGCATAGCCCCTGCCTAATGCTCCAGACCATATGGTAGTTCTGGTAGTTTTTTTTGGTATTGGCAGCACTGAACAATTTAAAAAGCCAGAAATGCTTTGTCTGAAAATGCTAAAAAGAATTTCATGACGCACACAGGGACAGGGGGTAAATAGGTCTACAGCATGGCTGAGAAATCACAGGGGAGGTCAGTACATCAGAGGCTTTTGCTTTGCTAGTATACTTTCATTGTGGCATAATACATAAATGGGGGTTTATTACTGTTCACATTTTTAATTGAATTAAAATCCAATCTAATTAGTCTATTGCTGCTGTTTTCTTTTTTGTTGAAATGCAAGGGATTCAGAACCAAGTTTATACATGTTTGAGAATTAATGTTATCCTTGAGAATTCTGTGAATTCATGATGCCATGCAATTCAGACAACCACTCTGTAGAGCAAACAAAGCGTAGTTTTGCTTTGTTGTTTGTTGGCTAGCAAACAAAATATAGTTTCTACTTCTACTTGAGCGTATCATAGACAATCATGATTGATCAATTACTTAAAAGCCTACAAAATCTACATATGCTGTATTTATTGGTGTAAGCATGCTTTTGATTCAGTGTATGTACAGAATAATACCCTTATTTTACCACAAATTCAATACATGGGCTATATTTGATATATACACCATAATTTTAAAATTAAATTAAAAAAGCAAACCAATATGACTTCTGTCCATGCTTCATTAAGATTTCAACTTCATCTTAACACTTTGATTTTTCAAACCCTTCCTACTGCAAAACTACAATAAAATGTTTCTAAATACAGCCTTTTATCAGTGTTTTCTTTTTAAGTTGTCCTGATATGACCATTTTGCTCAATGGTTAATCCCTATGGTGTCAGATTTTTCCTTTCATTGTCAGCGCTGCTCAGATGACATGACCTTCTCATGTCTAGAAGGATATCGATCCCGTCACATTCATTTTTTGTGTAGCTGTAGAGTGACTGATGCAGATCTTACTCATAATTCTATATCCCATACAGTACAGAGCAGCTTGAGCCTTGCAATTATTTTCTGTCCATGTTGTAATAGAAACGATAGCTGTTATGTGTGTTTCAGGAAATAATGAAAAACAAAACATTTCAATATATTCCTAAAAGTCCCCACTCTGCCAAATGAAGCACAGTTTTGTATAGCATGTTTTCCTTATTAAGTATTAAGATTTGGGTCAACCAACAAGCCTCTGAACATACCAACTAGAAGACAAAGGCCTTAATAACAATTAAATCATTTCTGGCTCCCACTCCTTAATTTGTGTCCTCAGGTACTGGGACACCTCTTTTTAAAACTGAATCTCAATTTCTGTGTTTTTGTTAAAAGAAGTAAATGCAATCTTCCTTCCAATAACAAGGGTAGATATTTGTTCCTGCTAAGAGGTACTCATATTAAAATTGCAGCCTTTTTTTATTTTTAAAACTTTCCATGTACCCATCAATGTAGCTATTTCAATGACCAAGGAAAGTTCTTGGAAGTTTCTGATGGCATAGTATGTCAGTAAGAGTGAGCAGGTTGTTGCTGACGAAAGTGGCACAAACACTTGGCGATGCCTCCTATCTTGACAAGCCAAGGAACAGTGGTGTAACCCTGTGGAAGACACTGCAAATTTGAGCTAATAAATGTAAATTATTACATATATTAGCTTCCATTCATTCACTTCCTTCTTCAAACAAGAAGAGCTCCCTGCCCCCAGAAACAAATAAGAAAAGTAATTTTGAAGAATTGTATTTCAACAGCCTTTCAGCATACTTCAATTTAATTCCACATTTTAATGGTAACAATTAAGCAGAAAATGTACAAAAGTGCCCCCACTTAAAGACATTTCAAAGCAGGAAACCTTTATCCTGGGCTCAAATGACACATTCTGCTCTATAAGGAACACAGCATCTCAAGTGTGCGTCTCAGCCTCTACTTGTTCGGGCTATCATCTTGAATGCTGAACTGCTGGTTGGGTTTTGTTGCTTCCTGCATTAGTTCATACAGTTGGACGACCTGTTCCTCCTGAAAATGGCGAAGTTTCTCTTCTGTAAGTTCAGCCCCGACAGCTGTTATACTTGTTTTTTGATTTGCAGCCCCCATTAGCTGAGTCTGTAATGTGTCCTTATAAGCCTGCATCAAGAAAAAAAAAATTCAGCATTAGGACAGGCTCAATATCCCAGCCATCATCTCCTAGACCTAACGTTAACTGTAAATGGAGGATATAACATCTTTTTCAATTAAATTTTATTTACGTAAAACATCCAATCACTTTCACAGATACTTACACAGACCATACAAGTAGTTATACAATCAAGGAAGTTAGTGGAAGATTATGTAAAATAATTTGGGTAGCTTATAATTACAGTGTAACCATCAGGCATAAAGGAGATAAAAACACAAAACTCCATTAGGAGAAGAGGAAAACTCTGGAGTCTGACTCCCAATGGTTTGCCTCCCCCTCCAGGCATGAGCCATGTGTAATGAGGCAGTATAGTGTAGTGAGATATTATAATGGATAGTGAGACTGTGTACACTATGTTTGAGCCATGTTGGAACAGGTATGTGAAAGCAGATGTGTAGTGAGTGTGCGGGTATGTCCAGTCACTGAGCTGATAAATCTGGGATTTCTGACTGCATAGTGGAATATCCTGGTCGAGCTAGGGTTGATCAATGTGGGATCTCTGATCTTATTGTGGAATATCCAGGTCTATTTTGTGTTGATAAATCTGGGATCTCTGATCATAAAGTCAAACGTCCTAGTCCAGTTAGGATGTCACAGCTGGGGTAGATGTTGTGGAAAGCTGGAAAAGCCCAAGTCCTGGTCATGGAGGATGGAGCTCAGTGCCAGTCCAGCTCCTATCATTCCTGTAAATAAATCCTTTATCTTATATCAGGAGTCTTGGAATTCTACATAAGATCCATTCAGTAAAGTGAGCCACACTCCAATAGGGAGCTTGCCTGTTATCAAGTCGAGCATGGCACTCAACCTTTGAAAACAGAGTTGGGCCCTTGACAATCCTTTGCTTTACTCTTTACACCTGGTTGGTCTTCTAGTAGCTAGGATAACTGCATACGCTCGTCATAAAGCTGATGAAGGTGGCTGACAAATTGCTGGAGGTCCAGCTACATTTCAGCAGCATAGGCCAGGGTGCCTCACAGTGCCTCACCTTTGTAAGGTTAATGCTAAGCAGAGAGATGATGCTTCCGACATTCTCCCTGCAATTGACAGGCTTGAAAACTTCAGCAAGAATTCCATCACCTCCTGCTACATTGTTGTTCTACTTTTGGATGATGGCTTTCATCACCTCGTTAAGTGCTGCCTAACCTCATCTCGAATTGGGAGTTGTGGGATAGGAATTGATATAAAACCGTTTTAAACATTATTATATATTTATGTTATGGGTAATGGAAAATAAAGCAAAGAAATGACTACCATTTAAAACTGCAATCTAAAATTCAATATGAGATATTTGTCTGTGTAGCAAATTTTTTAAATTCATTAAATACTGTCAAGAACTAAAACCAGAGCATACTGTATTATAAAGCAGTAGGGTGATCCTGCTAAAGTCAGCAGCAGATGATTTTCCTGTCTCTTCACAGATAATAGGCATCATGGCCAGGGCCTGACATTTTCAGCAGCATTTTTGTGAGATTTCGATTTTGGGATTTTGCTAGGAAAGAAAAATACTTTGCAAAATGCTTCTGGGCGAAAAGCAAAATTAGCATTCAACTTTTAAATTAAGATACAAATTTAAGGTATGCCTTGATCATTTCCAATAGAATTTACTAAGATTTTATCCACTTAATGAAAAAGGTATCACGGTACATAATGGATTTATTCCGTAAATCTATTCTATGTTATACAACCGTGTGTACTTTGGTCTGCCAGAAGCCACATCACCCTGCAACTCACAGCTGGCAGCCCACTGAAACTCCACAGGTGTGAGCCTGGTCAGTACCTGGATGGGAGACTCCTGGGAAAAACTAAGGTTGCTGCTGGAAGAGGTGTTAGTGAGGCCAGAAGGGGGCGCTCACCCTGCAGTGTGCGTGGGCCCTAATGCCCCAGTATAGTGATGGGGACATTATACAGTAAAAAAGGTGCCATCCTTTGGAAGAGATGTAAGTGAGGTCCTGACTCTCTCTGGTCATTAACAATCCCAGGTTGTTTCTCAAAAACAGTAACCCAGCATCCAAATCTTCTACTTTTCTATTTAAATTAGAAATGGTATACCCCCCAGTTGTGGACATGCCAATGGTTAATCCACTTTTTCCTCAGTGCTAGGAGCTCTCATCCCCCGCACACAGGTGGCAAGGGCGGTGTGGCTTTTCTGCAGGAATGCGCTCTGCCATGGAGATCCACCCTCTTTCGCAGCACAAGCCCTGCAAGTCAGGGCCCCAACACAGTGCTTCACGGCTGAGTTAACACAAACTGGAGGAGGGAGTCATTTAAAACACTGTTCGGGCAGCAAGCCAGACGGACTCCGACCCGCCCAGCCCTCTGGTACCCGGCCTGCTGCGCACGGCTGCTTCCTGAATGTTGACCATCCATTAGCCAGCTTATGACATAGCCTGGAACTGGCCATGTCCAGACTTCAGGGCTTGACCTTCGCTCTGAAGAGGCCAACCTCCTGATGGAGCCACTTAGGAACTTCTGATTCCCCTTCAGATATGGCTGTTAAGGTGTCAAATTTAAATATATAGGACCTCTGTTACATGGCGCTGAAAATGCCACCTAATTTATCAAGCTATTCCTGTGTTAGTACACTATGAGTGGAAATCAGGATAATATTCTTTCGTTGCAGGCTGCTTTTGTTTTAATAATCAATATTTACCTTGTTATATTCCTGTATGCTTTGGTGCTTCACAAAGGAATAAATCCAGGCACACGTAGTGTAATTGAAGGAATTAACAATGCTGTAATGCTGTAACCTGAGGTAAGCACAGCGATCGTCCATTATATTTACAATTCCACCTTAAAACACTTGTAAAATAGGCTTGTGTCAAAATAAAGGACCTGTTATATCACAAAAACACAACAAATCAGTTATTTAACACAGCAGCATCCCTGCTGGGTGTGGATTCTTAAAATCAAGACCTGCAAGATCGTTAACAGTGTGGAAGTTGATTGCAACAATTTGTAAACATGAACCCCTATAGAGGTCTACTGTTTCTTTTTTTGTTTTGAAGGTCTGAAGAGAGTGAACAATGAATGTTATATAAAAGAAATGGCATGAGTCACGTAACATTCATATTCTGAAATTATGAGGTACAAACCTTGAGGCAGCCTACAGAATTAGCAGCAAAAATTATACAGTTCACAGGAGCCAATTCAATGGGCTTTCTGTGGAGAGCACAATAACATGCCAGGTTTAAAGTTTTCAAACCTTCTATAATTTCTAGTTTCATAAAACCACATTTAGTCAAAAGAATATTTCAAACCTTATTAATTTTAATGGTGTGACAATTTGTGGAGAAATTGCATATTTAAATGTTAAAGAACTATAGAAGTGACTATAATATGAAAATACCTGTCCTTTTTTAGGCAAGTTTGGGTTAGTTTTGATTAAAGGAATACGTTTTGAGCACACTATTTGTCAACAATACATGGCCCATGTTACATGATGTTTTTCTACTCACACCGCTGCTAAACATAAAAAAATAAGTTAAATTTGTTCTAATGTCACCATAAACTGCACCCTGTGACTATGTTCAGAACAGGAAATAAGAGTTCATATACCAAGTATGTCCACAATGGTCACAGTATAGAAATGTATATATAAACAAGTGAGAGTCAGCTTATGATTTACATAATATGATTTGGGCCTATTTGGATGGAATATTGTCAAGGTCAAGTGCAAATCAGTGAAGGTGATCTATTGCACCTTCTGCAGAATAAATAACATCCTATGGAATCATAGATGCTTGATGGATACAATAAAAAAGAACCAAAAAAGACTTTGAGTTAGTAAACTTTGAGTTTGTTGCCGTTAGCACCCTTGTACTCTAAATGTCATGGTTGAGGTAGAATTTTAGAAGATGAATTTGGAAGCATCAAGCAAACTGCAGATTACAAACTCGGTTTTATTTCACCGCTGCACTTCAGGCAGCAGCTAATTATAACTACCGTATCAGCTCATCTCTATCATCTTTACGTATTAATAAACCAGCTGACATTTCAACCCAGAAAATGAATTACCGTTGTGCTTCGAGGTGGTCCTAGCCATCATGGGCTTGCAAGGAACCTGGGGGATCCAGTGACAACCCACACAATCTGAGGTCACAACCATTTAAAGAAGATGGCAGATCCAAAAGGACATGAGCTCAGACCTTGACTCCATTAGAAAAAGTGAAGTCAAATTCTCTCATCACGCGTACTATTTCTAAGTACCTGTAAACAATGTTTTCTTGTTTTCTAAATACATTAATTCATTGGGCTTTACCTTAAGCCTGACAGTAATTATATGTTGGTGTGCAGGGACAGCTCAACAACTGTACACCCTAAAAATACATTCCAATATTTCATTCAATATATTACATTCCAAAATCAGTATTTTTTTGGTTTGTCTGCAAATGTGAAGTATCTGTACAAGTACTTGGGCATTAATTCACGATGAACCACGGGCTAAGATGCTAGTTGCTAAACTATACATTTTTCACCCCACATATTCCACCTAATCTGTGCAACCATGGAATAGTTTGAGTCATTAAGTACTGCAGTGGAGCTGTCATTTTAATGCTATACTATTTATAATCATTTTTATAGAGCCATAATGCAAATTCCCCAGTTATACACAATTGAACACATCTTGAAATCTCAGGCAAGGAGTCACTAAAGGAATAATTTCACTTTAATATGTATAGTAGCTCAGACCATTGCTAAAACTCAGCAACCATTTAAATCTTTAATCCAGACTAAACTCCATTGTCCGCAAACATTTTTCAGCCACCACATTTGATGGGTTTCTGTTTATATTGGGATAGCTTTGAAATCTAAACTCTTCAATTATAACATCATTCACGAACTTCTTATTATTTTTTTCCAGTTACGTCAAAGAAACGAGGAACATTTCTTGCCCCTTAAGAAACCTCATTCCATTTTCCTACCACCGGTTTAGTGAAAAAAACTCCCA